TTTTCCACTATCCAGCTCAAACCAGCCTGATAATACATATGCGCATATATTTTATTTAGAAATAGTCTTTATTTTTCACTCTTTATCTAATTTTCTCGTTCTAGTGTTTTATTGTTGTAATTTTAACATATTTCTTGAAGTTATAAAAGAAAAATTACCATCTATGGATATTCGAAACCCAATATGAGTAAGTGTAAAAGGTGAACTACCTTAAACGGAATAGTAAACATAGACTATCTGCCCTGACCCAAAGCCATCCAGATATTCACCATTCGAAAGTAAAACCTGAACTACTTTAAATGGAATAATATACAGGGAAAAAATCCAAAAGTATATTCGCTCTTAAAAAGAATTTCCAAAATACACACGCTTTATGAAGTATTCCCTATTTACACATGTTTGAACTTCACCGCGACCATCAAACACGGTGACTAACATGACCGCGACTGACAATCGCGGTGAATGGTTCACCGCGGCCGGCATATGTGTAATAAAAAAAAGTTGTGACGTTTGGGTTGCAGAGAGGATGGTAATGGGTCGGGCCGGGGGCGAATAGTGCATATCCATTACCCTACCCAAAGTAGTTCGGGGTTTACCCATACCCACATGAGAAATGGGTAGAAAATCAAAACCATGCCCATACCCGTCCGTGTTTCGGGTATCCACAGTTATCCATGGGTAATAATTTCTCCTTATAACTCCAATCAATATGTTAACATTCACACATATACTTACATTGCGTAAGAGAAAAAGTACGACAATAATTCACTAGAATGAAAAAAATTAATTAAAACAACACAATTTCATGAAAATGTTATATTTATTTTCTAAATATAAAATATGTTAGAGAAAAATAATGATTATTTCTAGAAAAAATACATATGCATGTGTATAATCGGGCGGGTTCGGGTTGGATAATGAGAAACCCATGCTCACCCATTACCCGTACCCACTAAAAGTCCTTCGAGTTTGGATTTTACCCTACCCGATTAGATCGGATTCGGGCGGATATCCACGGTTACCGATATTTTTCCCATCCCTACTGACAAAGTTATAACCTTTCAAAGTTTGGCAAAATCTAAAAATTGCTCGTTTGGGATAGCAAATGACGATTTTTCCAGGACAAAGGTTGTACCTGACTGTTTGAGAATTGAAAGAACTTGAAAAATTATGCGGAATAAATACCGAACGTAAAGTCATGTTCATTCGAAGTTTTGGCATAGGTTAGGCGTTCACGCCGCTACGTAGTTTAGAAATATATTTTTTTATAATATACATATTTTGTCAATTTTTTTTAATAACATGTGTATTTTGAGATTTTTTTCGATAATAAACAATACACTATCCTCATGCTAACGTAATGAATGCACCGCACAAAAAATGGGAGGAAGGTCGGCAACTTTCAGCCGCCACACCAGTAAATATAGATAGGCGCTCTAGAAACCGCCACTCGTGGGCTACGGCCGATGCTGCCTCGCCACGTTTGCTATGCAAATGCAACGCTTTCTTCTTCTTCTCCCACTATCACGTCGGTAATGTGATTCAATTTCTGTCCCATTCCTTCGTTGTCACAAAATTCCCCAATAAACAGAAGTGGCATATTCAGATTCATCCTATATATGGTTCTCTGTTTGTTTACATCCTAATCAGTTCATCACACGCGCGTCCATCGTTTTCTGGCCTAATAGTATGGGAATTTTGTTCCTTAGTTGCTTATCGTGCTAGTGCTCTCTATCCTTTCTTATTTGATTAGGATGGTGATTTGACCATACTTGTTATGATCTGCCCACTTGATGATATTGATATGTGCATTTGATTCAAGAATCGGGAAACATTGAAGAAATTCATGAGACCAGAAAGAATCTATGGGCACTAGTTGTGCTAAAACAAAAAGAGCACCAACTTCAAATTTTTTTGTTGTTGTTGATGCTAATATAGTATAGAGTTGTCTACTCCTAACTACTCCTTTCTTCATCATGGTTCGAAGTTCGAACTAGAGGAATAAGGAGAAGAATACACTTATAAAGAGGACAACAAATCCCAATAGCTTCCTCATCTGCAAAATCTGGTCCGATATAAACAAATCAATCTACAGCTTCCTCATCTGCAAAATCTGGTCCGATATAAACAAATCAATCTACGAACTGCCCAAAATCCATTACACAAATGAGTCATTTATTGTCATTCTATTTATATGGATACTAGAATGAATTATCCATACAAACATAATCATTTGTAGTTTGTTGGTACGTCGATAATTAATAATGTTTAAAAAAAATATCATACTCCACTTTCAACATATCGATATACCTATTATGGGATATCCTTCATAACTTTCGAATTACAATCCTCGCTTCCGCCTTTGATATGCAGTACGACTTGATAGCACAAACATATAATTGAGATGGAGCACCCGACTTTATTAATAAGTCACACAACTGCATGAACATTTTCCTCATCCATCTTCAATGTATTTTCTTTTTATTGGTAGGGGTGTACGTCTGGTCCTAGATACCTATTGACTCAGCCCGGTCTGGCTCTAAAGGTCGGGCTAATTCAGTTTGTCTATAGAATCAATTTAGAATTGGATCATCTTTTGGCCCTGTAAAGGCTGGGTAGGATCGAGTCAATTTAGAGTAGGGTCACTTTTGGCCCTATAACTCATATATATATAGCACGACGAGCGATTTGAAACTCATTATACCAAAAGATGAGACATGTTTGTAAATTCTAAAAGTTTAGGTACTATAATGCAATCTAATTAAATAATATAAAGGTAGCAAAACGTAGTTTTACCACCAAAATTTTGATTTTGGACCTATTTTGAAAAACAAAGTTCATGCGTAAATTGTAAGAAAAAATAATCTCGGATAAAATAATATAATTTTCTAAACATCGATTGATTTGGGCCCGATCCGCAGACTTGGTCCGGCCCCACACATCCCGACCCAAGTTGGTCTGACAGGGTCACCACACATCCCGACCCACGTTTGCAGTTCTAGCCCTCCAGGATCATAGCTAGGGGTGAACAAACACACCCGGAAACCGACCCACCCGTCCAACCCGACCCAACCCACCCGTATTTATCGCTAAAACGAAGGTTTTGGGTTGGGTGAGGGTTTTCTTTTGTACAACCCGCCTCTTTTGGGTTGGGTTTGGATTTTGGATTACACAACCCGTAGAACCCGACCCAACCCGTGTTCCACTATTAGTATGAGTTCGAATGTAAAAAATATTTATGTACTATATAGTCATATACTTATGAGAAAATTAAGATATTTCACCATGTTTTTCTCTCATGGTCTCCCTAATCTAATGCATTCTTCGACTTAAAGTTTAGACATAAATTGAATATAGTTATGATTCAAGTAATCCTTTTTCTTGTTACAATTTTAATAGAATAACATATGATGGATGTGTTTGTTTATAACATTTTTAGCCTATTTCAACAAATATCGTGAAAAAACAAGACATATGTTGAAGTAAATTACATTTTATTAAAATTTAAACAACATTTGTGAATTTTCATACCTTTCATCTTGGTTCATTCGTTTGAAATTTAAATTAGTTATAAAATATTTTTATGATGTAGAATAATTATATATTTTATGTTGGATTGGGTTTTTACTTAAAAATATCGCCAACCCGACCCAACCCAATTAGAAACAAACCGTAGGGTTTAAATATTTTTGGGTGGGTTTGGATTTGATATTTCCCAAACCGTAGTGCATGGATCGGGTGATTAAAATAACTAAACCCGAACCACCCGACCCATGTACACCCCTAAATTCATAGTTGGATTCGGCCCAATTCACCTCTGATTACGCGCTTCAAAATTCGAGAACTCACCATTCATAGGCAGAGCCAGCCCAGTTGGGCCTTGTCACGGGACAGGGGTAAATTTTGGGAGGAACAAAAATACTCTATATATATGTTTATGCTTGTTAAGGATGGAACACGACACCTAGTACAACGTATTTTGTCACTATATCACAATTCATTACTTGATCATAAATTAACATTAAATTAATTTATTATACTATAAACCAAATATCAAATGGAATATATCTCTTTTCTTCATATGTCTATTCGATTATTTTCCCAGCAATCTTGAAGCAGTCCAGTGGTAGCGTAGATTCCACTAGTTTTGACGACAAGTGTAGATAAAATATTTTCAGCTTTGAGCTATATCAAGAACGAACTCTGAAATCGAATTCACAACCAGTTTGCTAATGATTGTGTAATGGGATCCATTGGAAAGGACTTACTTAAGAGTATATTTTATGTTTCTTTAAGAATATGAAAATTCATCATGGTTGTTTATGAATATACCGATTGTTTTAGTCGTTATTTTTATATATGAAAATAAATTATTCAGATATTATTAATTTAATTATATTTATTATATATATATATATATTTATTTATTTATTTATAATACGAAAAAAAAGGATAGGGGTAGTTTCAAATCCTGCCTCCTCCATTGTCACCATTGTGATAAATATTCTCTATCTCTTATTACAACTATAAAATGTATATTTTTATTATTTTTCCCGAACCGCAATAATTCCATGTTACCTTTTTGTTACCGGTACCAAATTTGGTAGTGGGAAGGACACGTTAATTGATATATGGATAAACGAAGGACGACTATTAAAATCAGTGACCTTGTGAATTGTGATCGTGAAAGCCAAAGTAAAAAAAGTGGGGGACCCGACCGACCTGGTTCACGGGTTCGGTTCACTATTCTTTGTGTTCGCTCGTCACCATCCACCCACTTAACCATATTCTTCACAAAAACCACACTCTCTCCCTATAAATATTACCCTCTTTTCTCCCTCTCCCATTGAAATCAACCATCACAAAGAAGAGAAGAAACCATGCCGTCTTTCTTCATTCTCTCACTAGTTCTCGTCCTCGTCCCACAGCTCTGCGTCGTGGGCCGCCGCCACCACGGCCATCACATAGCCGGCGACCAGAAGATAGCGGGCTTTCCCCAGATGTCCAACCAGGCCGGGGGCTCGTCGTCAACCCCAACTTCGGGGGCTTCGGGCTCGGCCCATGGGCCCAACTGGGAGTACAATTGGGGATGGGGATCTACCCCGGGTACTGGTTACGGCTACGGCTCCGGCTCGGCTCGATCTCCCAACGGCTTCGCCAAGGGTTTCGGGTACGGGTACGGGTCTGGGTCCGGGTCGGGTTCTGGATCGGGTTACGGGTACGGGTCTGGGTCCGGCGGCGGTGTTCGTGCTGGTGGGTCCGGTTCGGGAAGTGGCGGCGGCGGCACAGGAGGAGGGAGTGGCGGCGGAAGTGGAGCTGCGAGTGCCCGCGGCGGCGGCGGCGCGGACTCTGCTCGGGATGGAAACCGCCATGGCTGATGTGGCTATATATATATATATATATATATATGTACTACTGTGATCTCTCTCTCTCTGTCTCTTGTTGTTATGTAATGTTTTACTGTGTGTATTTTTACTGCTTGAATTACTGTTTACCCCCAGTGGTATCCTATAGGTAACTTGGTAAGTTGGGCGTAGCTCGATCTTTGTGGTGGAATGGTGTGTTATTAGGGGACCAGTGTATGCAAATTGTAGAATCAGAACCACTGTGTGCAATTATGCATACTATTACATAACTACTTTGTGTGTTGTTTTTAGCAATGCTTTCATGTTTTGCTTAAATAGAATTTGCTTACTAGAGCTTGGTCTACGAATAATGGTTTGGTCTAGCAGTAATATTATTAATTTTAATCGTGTATTACTAATTTTAATCGTGTAGTTCTCAGGTTTGAATCCTTTGAATAGTACTTAAAACCACAAAAAAGTAAACTTATATCACTATTAAATAAAAATAGAAAAAGAATTTCGTTGAAAATCTATATAATGTACTAGTTAAGACGAACAAAGATTTGGTCTAGTGTTAATACAATTAGTCTTGAATTTGGAGATCTAATTTATGAAGACACAAAATTCAAAAATAAATAAACATATATCACACTTATAAAAAAAATTATAGAAAATATCATGGTTAAGTAAATAGGCCTTTATTAAAGAGGTCAAGAGTTCAATTCCCCATCCCATCAACTTTGAAAATACCAACCTAATGTGTAAGATTAAGGATTCAATTCCCCACCTGAACGCTATTATTACGGAAAAAAAAGCCATCATCGCTTGTGATGTCTCACGACAGATTTAAAGATCGCATCTGATCCGATTTCATAGAATGAAATGAACACCGACCTGTGCTCCCCTATCACCAATGTTGAGATTCGTCGTGCTATCTTTGATCTTGATTCCTCCAAGGCTTCGTGATCAAATGGTTTTCCATGCCATTTCTTTTGGAAATTCTGGCCAACTGTTGGTGATAAGCTGTTGGATGAGGTGATGAACTCGATCTTTTTATCAGGGTCCGTGTTAGAAGGATGAAATACCACCCACAAGGCGTTTGTCTCAAAAATTGACTCATAACTCGATCTATTAGTTCCTAAAAAATTTAGTATGAAATTTTTTCCAAGATCTTGACCTCCCATCTTAACAAATGGCTACCCCCACTTTTGTTAGAGCTTCGAATTCCCTTCACGGGGAGAATTCAAATCCATGACAACATCGTTATTGTACATGAGACTCTTAATCATTTCAAGAAGCAAAAAACGGGCAACGAACGAGACGTAATGCTAAAAATGGGTATGCGCAAAGCTTATAATCTAGTCAAGGGAGGCTGCCTGGAGAACCTCCTCAGTTAATAGTATATATGACCAGTGGTGTAGATACATTTAACGATGTGTGAGAAAAGTTAAGTTTGATATCCTTATTGACGGAGAAGCTTCTACGCAATTCACTCCCACGAGAGGAGATATATTGAGACCCTCTTTCTCCGCCCCTCTTTATCCTTATGCCCAATGCAATTACTTTTTTATTTATTAAAATGCATTTATTGGAAACCACATAAAAGGCATAAAAACCCATAGATGTTGCCCTATTCTCACCGATTGTCTGATGACGCAGTGACTTTTAGGAACAATGACTTTCACGAATTTTAGGAATCATCAAAGACTGGTGCAATTACAAGACAAGAACTGAATAATAGCATGTCCTTTATCTTCTTTAGCAACAATATACTAGCATAAGAGAAGTCCAACATCATTCAGATATCTACTAAGAATCTTCGACCCACCCTTGTCGAGATTCCTTGGCCAACCTATATTCACCTTCGAATTGCCACACCAAATATCTCAAGAGTACCCATAGAATGAGGAATATCATGAAAAGGAAACCTTTATTTCATCATCCAGAGAATGAAAAATCAAGAGAAGGCTGGTAGAGCTTGCTTCTATCTTCACCAAGCAAAGAGCTACTTCTGAAAGCTATGTTATAGGTTATCTCTAAATTTATCATGTGTCTCTTCCTCCTTCCAACATCTATCATCCAAAAAAGAGATTATATGCTTAAACGATTCTTTTGGTCAAGGTTCATGGTAAAAAAAATATTAATTGGTGTAACGAAAATACCTCTATACACCAAATGATGGAGGGCTTGGCTTTATATTCTTCAAAGATTGCAACATTCCTCTTCTTATAAAACAAGCTTGGCGCCTCTTCCCAAGATCTCTTCTTATAAACCAATCCGACGACTCTTTAGGCTCGACTAATCAAAGGACTTTACTTCCCAATATCTCACTTCCTAAATGACAAAAAAGGAAGTATACCCTCTTGGATATGGTCCAATCTATGGGAGACAAAGGACAAAACTTCAACTGGGGATTGTCAAAGTAATTGACCATGGTAACTCTACAAACACTTTCATAGACCAATGGATTCTTTCTTTCCTAGAAGAGAAACTCCAAACAACCCCAAATGATGATCCGAAAGTGGCTTACTAAAGTGATAAGACTAATCGAACCTAAAACCTGCCGTCTTTCAACAACCAACTTAGTCCACAAGAAAGTCAAGCTATCATTACTAATTTACAATCCCCATTGGACTACCCAAGCCTCAAATGTTTAAAGGCCTAGACATTCTTCATCTCAGGGAAGTTCTCTATTAGCTCTGTATACCATGTGTTTCATGATCAGGTGAGAAACTCTACAAATGAAGGGGGTGTAACTCCTTTGTGGAAGGATAAATGAATGTAGCTATGCACGATTTCTCGTGTGCCATATAACAATCATTGATTATTCTAAGTTCAAATGCATGCATGATTTCTCGTCATGCCATGCATGGGTTCTTCTAAATATAGACTACTATATATATGCGCAATTCCTTGTCATGCCATGCATGGCGAGTCGAGGTAGATAAACAAGAGAGATGAATCACAAGCATGAACTAAATATCTCGATATATTAATAGTAAAAAAAGTATAGATACACATAATTCCACCTCCTAAACAATGTGGTGGGGTGTTTAGCTCAATATATATAGAGAGAGAGTGTGTCTAGTGTCGACATTGCTGCTCTTCTTATTTTGTGTGAGGCTAAAGTACTAGAGTTTAAGATCACAAAACCAGTTGCATTTCACTAGAAAATGAACCCTTGAAGTTTCAAATGCTTTTACAATGAGACCCATAACCTTTATTTATACTAAATCCCAAGGCCTAAATCTAATCCTAACCAAATTTACATAAAGTTAATCCCTTCATATTCGAACTAGATCTCATTTTCCTTGGCTTGCATGCAAAAGGAACTAAATATCTCGATATATTAATAGTAAAAAAAGTATAGATACACATAATTCCACCTCCTAAACAATGTGGTGGGGTGTTTAGCTCAATATATATAGAGAGAGAGTGTGTCTAGTGTCGACATTGCTGCTCTTCTTATTTTGTGTGAGGCTAAAGTACTAGAGTTTAAGATCACAAAACCAGTTGCATTTCACTAGAAAATGAACCCTTGAAGTTTCAAATGCTTTTACAATGAGACCCATAACCTTTATTTATACTAAATCTCAAGGCCTAAATCTAATCCTAACCAAATTTACATAAAGTTAATCCCTTCATATTCGAACTAGATCTCATTTTCCTTGGCTTGCATGCAAAAGGAAGCATAGCATAAACTAGATTTTGAAATTCGACACTTGATTTGGGGATATTTTGTGCTATGCGCTACAATCTTTGTCATGGTCAGACCAAGCTACTCGATTTCTAAGCACAAGAATCCAATTTACCGTCCTTTAATTTGTGTTATTCCCCATAAACAACAATGCAGAAGTTGAACAAGGACATGCCCAAGCAGTGCACATTCCGTAAACGACACGACTATTGTGTGACTATGGCCGTCATGCTCTTTGCAAAGTCGCCCAACATAAGCTAGATTTTGAAATTCGGTACTTGATTTGGGGATATTTTGTGCTATGAGCCACAACCTCTATCATGATCAGACCAAGCTACTCGATTTCTAAGCACAGGAATCCAATTTACCATCCTTTTAATTTGTGTTGCTCGCCATAAACAACAATGCAGAAGTTGATCAATGAGCCAATGACTACTCGTCCCGTAGACGACACGACTTTTGTGTGACTAAGGTCATCATGTTCTTTGCAAAGTCGCCCAACAAAAGCAAGATTTTGAAATTCGATACTTGATTTGGGGAAATATTGTGCTATGCGCCACAATCTTTGTCATGGTCAGACCAAGCTACTCGATTTTTAAGCACAAGAATCCAATTTACCATCCGTTTAATTTGTGTTGCTCGCCATAAACAACAATGCAAAAGTTGAACAATGGCCAAGTAATGCACGTCCCGTAGACAACACGACTTTTTTTCCGACTATGGCTATCATGCTCTTTGCAAAGTCACCCAACATAAGCTAGATTTTGAATTCGGTACTTGATTTTGCAATATTTTGTGCTATGCGCCACAACCTCTGTCATGGCCAGACCAAGCTACTCGATTACTAAGCACAAGAATCCAATTTACCATCCTTTTAATTTGTGTTGCTCGCCATAAACAACAATGCAAAAGTTGAACAATGCAATGCCCAAGTAGTGCACGTCCCGTAGACACAACTTTTGTGGGACTATGGCCGTCATGCTCTTTGCAAAGTCGCCCAACATAAGCAAGATTTTGAAGTTCGGTACTTAATTTGGGGATATTTTGTGCGATAAGCCAAAATCATTGTCATGGCCAGCCCTGATTACTAATCAGATATACCATACTTTTAATTTGTGTTGCTCGCCATAAACAACAATGCAGAAGTTGAACAATGACATGCCCAAGCAGTGCACGTCCCATAGACAACACAACTTTTGTGTGACTATGGTCGTCATGCTCTTTGCGAAGTTGCTCAACATAAGCTAGATTTTGAAATTCGATACTTGGTTTGGGGTATTTTGTGCGATGAGCCACTATCTCTTTCATGGGCCAAACCAAGCTACTCGATTTCTAAGCACAACAATCGAATTTACCATCCTTTTAATTTGCGTTGCTCACCATAAACAACAATGCAAAAGTTGAACAATGACATGCCCAAGTAGACAACATGACTTTTGTGCAACTATGGTCCATCATGCTCTTTGTAAAGTCACCTAGCATAAGCTAGATTTTGAAATTCGATACTTGATTTGGGGATATTTTGTGCTATGTGCCACAATCTTTGTCATGGGCAATCCAAGCTACTTGATTTCTAAGCACAAGAATCCAATTTACCATCCTTTTAATGGTGTTGCCTTTGGATGAGAAGACAACGCACTCCACCTCCCCGTTTTGTATCTTTCTCGATAAATTTGCCAAGAATCAAGGTCAACCGGCCAAGTGACGCATAGATTCTAGCCCCAATTTAGCAGTGTATGCATCGTGCATGAACATTTTCATATTTTTAGTAATGCCACACTCTCCCTGGCAATTCCAAATCCATCTTACTTCGAACTGCTAGTCTCAAGGTCGATGCATCTTCATCGTTGTCAAAACGGGTGCTTTATTCATCGACATACCTTGGAGTATGGATTTTAAGCAACGAACACGACCACATAACAGTAGTCTATGCATCCTCATCGTTAACATACTTTCGAAACAGGCTCTCCATTCACCCTACCTTAAGAGTAGTCGATGCATCTTCATTGTTAACATAAGATCTCATTCTCACTCCCAAAAACAAGTTTGCATTCTTAAGAGGATTCTTAAGAGGAGCGGACGATTCCTCCTACAACCTAATAACAGGAAACTAAGTTCTCACCATCGCGGCTCACCAACAAAGCACCTACAACGAAATCCAGTTCCAGAGAAGCCTAATCACTAGTTGCTTATGTGCCTACTATGGCTAGCAAACTAAACGATCCAAGTCATAATATTCTACCAACTGCCGAGACATGCTACTGCCTATGTAAGCTTACTAAAAAACTATTAAACGCATATTCATCATCATCAACAACGACTTGCCTGTGCATTGTGTACCTTGCTAAGCGCATCCCACACCATCATCCATCGCTAGTTGTTAGCTCACTGCAGCCTCCGATTCCCAGGAAGATCCGGCTGGCCCGAAACCCTTCTCATCACGAACTGAAACACCACCTTCCCATGGACGCTCGTAACCTCATTCATCTCCACCGCCAAGTACAAGCCATAGTAGACATAGACATAGCCCGCAGCTGAACCCAACGACGGCAGCTTGCAGATCACCCTCACAGGCTGCTTCATCTTCATGCTATTCTCCAGAGCCCGGTTCCCACCATCAAGCTTCTGATCCCTCGCCAGCTTCCCATCGGTGCAACCGTACGGCATTCCCCCTTCGCCCACGTACACGATCCTCTCCACCGTGACCGAATTCTCCTTCGAATCGGTAGCCACAATGCTGGTTGCCAAACTGATCCCGCTGTCTTGCTTCATCACCGATATCCCTCTTCGATACGGATGGTGAACACCAACCACCATCATCTCCCCCCAGTGGTGGAAACACTTGCCGATCTCAACTCCGGGGACACTCCCCAACCGTTTCTCGTCATTCACGCAAGCTCGCTTCCGGCGAAGAACGTCCACGGCTTCTTTGTAGACACCGGCGGGATTGTGGGTTTTCGACTTGGGTTTCCCTCTCCGAAGAACTTCCACCGTGCGGTTGTACTCCTCCAGGGCCTTCCTCACCAGCTCTCGATCCTTCTCCTCCTCGGGACTCAAACGACGGAGACGTCCAGAGCTGGATCCCGTCAACATTGGCCCGCCGCCGGCGGGGCTGGCGGTGGCCGACGGAGGAGAGTCTGGCGGTGGTGGAGGGCAAATGGTTCTCGTTCCCCCCTTCTTGCTCTTTTTCAGGGGCACGGCCAGGTCGCGGAACTGGTCAACTCCACGTTGACCACCTGCTGGTCCACTAAATCCACGGATGGGGCCGGCCGAATTTTGGACTTGTTGCGTAGTAAAAGGAGATCGGGACGAAACCATTTTTTTTGCTCCTGCACATCAGCAATAACAACATCAATGAACCTTTTTTTCAGGCGACGGTTTCGCTACATTTCCCCCAAATCTTCAGGAAGAATCCTCGAGAAATTTCTCGGCAATTTAACAGCATGTATAGAAGAGGAAAGTCGGAGTAAAGCAAGCAAAATCATCAATGGCGACAGCATCCATTAATTCGCAGCAGTAAAAAAAAGAAAAAACACCCAACCGAAAATCGAACGACCTCCACATCAAACCCTAACCGACTTCCCAAATGGAGCAGCCAAAACTCAAAACAGGATGAAACTATGAACGAACTTCCTAATCGATCGAACGGCAGAGGAAACACAGAGCATTTATCGAGCGAGCTTTCTTGAAAGGGGAAAAACCCTAGTTGAGAAAACGCAGAATCGAAGCATGCAAAGGAGCTAGTTGAAGGAAGCAAAGCTAAGAAGAAGAAAACCGAACGGCGGGATGAGAAAGAAGGACTCGCGCAAAGAGAAAACGATGAAAGAAAGCGGAGCAGCGACGCGCAGGGAACCTGAACCTTACCTTTTCTGTGCGAAATGGAGAGACGGAAGGAGAGCGAAATCAGCGGAAGAAGACGAACCAAAAAAAAAAGAGAGAGCCAGGACGAGAATCGGTGCTAAAGGAGTGAAGGAAATGGTGGGAAAATGGCGAGGATGGAGAAGAGCGACATTTTAATCCTTCGACCACCGTGAGTTTTTAGACTCTCTGAAATTTCCGGCGAGGCGGTTTCTTGGAGTTCCGGCGAGAAAAAGATAAACTTCCTTTTTGCAGAGAGAGTGGGAGCGAGAGAGAGGAGGGAGGGGCCTCTATATACAGCTGGTTGTCTGACGTCAGTTGCCAGAGCAGCGGCGAACGACTACTTACTTGAGAAGTAATTTCTAATTTTGCCGCTTCAAAACAATTACAATTTCCCCAGTTAAAAAAAAAACAATTACTATTTCGGTTCGTGTAGGAGAGGATTTTGTATCATATGGGCGATGGGCCAGGCAAAAACTCTGTTTCGTTGGGCCCAATTAAGAGGCAGTTCCACTTTGGGAATAATAATATAATGGTATTTAAATTTAAATAGAGGGTCCACCATCCCTTTCCTTTAAATGGCTGGTCTGTTATGGGTACAGTACTCTAGGGAAATGAGTGGACCGAATAGGGTGTTCAAATTTTGAAAAAATAGGGATGAAAAGGTAAAATAAGAAGACAAGATGAGTCAAATGGAAAAAAAATTGGTACCAAATTGTTAGGCTTGTAAATTTTGGAACATGATATGTCAACATGTGATTTAAATTAAACCTACATTATAATATTTTTTTTGGTCGACATGAATTATATATAACTTGAGTTTAACTAGTAGAAGACAACTAGACATGATTTGTAATTCAAATATATTGTATGAATTGCAAACAAAGGAAGCATAAGGAAATCGATTCAAAACTTGAGGTATCAAATTGTAAGACTGATAAATTTTGGGGTAAAATATGTCGTAATTGTAAAACGGGAATAAATGGGTTAATTGATAGCGATGGACCGAGTATTCACCTCTCTCGATTTGTCTATTGAAATATCGTAATTTACTCCAGTAATGATTAAGAATTTATTAAATAATTGAATATATTATATGTTATTATATTCCATAAAAATATTATTATTATTCATTATCTTATTTTTCTTCATTTTCTTACCTATTCATTCACTTACATGCACATTCATACATGTACATGCATATAAGTTACTCCTTTCCCATTCTTTCATTTACCTACGTACATATCTGTGCATATACATGCATGTACTTACGAATTGCTCGTTTACATTACTTTACAAATTTTCCATATACCCTCACTCCTTTATTTTCCATTACATATTATACTTTCGCATACATACTTGGACTTTCTCATGCACCATAATTGTTGAGGAATGTTGATGTATGACGGAGAATATTGACGAGTGTTGGGGGATAACGGAGAATATTGACGAATGTTGGGGAATATTGACGTAAGTCAAGGAATTCAAGTACAAATTTTGCCTATAAATAGGAGCACCCCTTCCCCCTTCTTCAAAAGATACGTCGCTTACGACTACTTCACACGACACAACTCAAACACAAATGACTTACAACCACTTCGGACCTCTGTCTCTCTCTCTAAAAAATGTTTTTTCTCTCCTCCCAATCTTCCAAAACATGTTAAACTTTTAAACACTCAACACACCTTCAATTTGGCAGACTAACCCATGGAATCGTGGATAGTCTCCACCGTGCGGCATTAAACAGCCCACGACGCTCAATCACGATCTTGAGATCGAACCAGGTCTAACGCCATCGTATTTATTTCTTATCATTCAGGTTACTAATTTGAGCGTCGGAGGAGGTTCCAACCAGGACTCCCCCAGTAGGACGTTTTTTTCAGGTATTTGCACGGAGTTGGAAGTGGTTGAAAATTTTGGGAAATCAGCGCTATCCGGACCTTAAACATATTGAAGCAGGTTGCTCTAAGCCTGACATCAACATATAGGATTGCCATTTTGAGATAAAAATATGCCAAATTTTCCAAAAGGGAATTAATGGGATAAATTTATAGGATTGCCATTTTGAATATATATAATCAAATTTTAACTAGTAGAAGACAATTAGACATGATAGGTAATTCAAACATTCTATGAATTACAAACAAAAGAAAATCAGAAATAACAATTGCAAGTTTGAGGTATCAAATTGTAAGACATGTAATTTTGAGATTAAATATGCCAAAATTGTAAAATGGGGATAAATGGGTTAATTCATAGGCTTGCCATTGTCAGATAAAATATGTAAAAAAAATTAAAATGGATATAAATGGGGTAAATTTATAGGATTACCATTTTGAGACTATATATAATCTAATTTTAACTAATAGAAGACAATAAGATATGATATATAATTCAAACACGGTATGAATTACAAACAAAAGAAATCCTGGAAGACCAATTTAAAACTTGAGATGTCAAATTGTAAGATAGGTAATTTTGAGATTAAATATGCCAAAATTGTAAAATGGAAATAAATGGGTTAATTTATAGGGTTGCCATTTTGAGATAAAAATATGCCAAAATTGTAAAGTGGAATAAATGGGCTAAATTTATAGGATTTTCATTTTGGGAAAATATGGAAATATTGTAAAATGGGAATAAATGGACTTAATTGATAGGATTGCCAAAAGTAGTCATTGAACCCATGACCTTCCGGTTCAAATAATAAAAATAGATCATTAGACCAAAATAACTTTGGTGTTGTAGTGTTGCATACTCGAGTTTCCAAACTTTAGGGGGTCATGAGCCCCCGTCACAATGCGCTTGAATCCGTACCCGGCCGACTATTGTACATAGTAATTACCTACCCCTCCTCCTTCTCTTCTTTTCTCCTACTGCGTCCCATATCACGCCCCTCCACTTCTACCTTTGCAAAAAAAAATCAACAACTTACTTTTAAGAAAAAATATTTTACCATTAAAAAAGAATTATTTCATCATCGTAGTTTTTTTATTACTTGACATCCTTTACAACGGCTCGAGTTTACTTTGTGAGCTTTCTAGTGTGGTTTCTGGTCTTTTTTTGTATGCTTCATAAGAGATCTCGTGTGGTTGCACATATTTTCTGTCTGTTTCATGGAACTTGTGGTATACTTTATGAGGTTTCTAGTCTGCTCATGGAATTTGTGATTTACTTTGTCAGGTTTCTGGTATGCTTCAAAGTACTTGTTGCCTGCTTTATGAGGTTTATGTTATGCTTCAACGGACTTGTATTGTGCTTTATAGAGATGACAATCAAACCCACAACCAAGGGTACTCGATTGCCACATCCTAAACCTGTCCCATTGTCATATGTTACGAGAACTGGGCCATCGTAGCAATTGGGCTAATTATTTGGGCCTACTTATCCTTATTGTTTTAGTATTAGTAGTCTTTTATTATTATTGTCTTTATTAGTAGTTTCCTTGTTCAAGTAGGATTTGTCTTATTGTTACTAGCTTTCTTATAGGATTAGGAGTCATGTTCTAGATAGGTAAATGTAGAGACTTCTATGCCTATAAATATGTACTTTGTCTCTCGCTTAATAATTTTAGAAGATTGGAACCCAAGTAGCTTAGTAGTTTTAGCCTTCACATCCTCTATATTTCTCTTCGTTCTATGTCTATTTCTCTTCGTCTCGTTTGCTTGCTGGATTTGAAAATGAGTGTTTTGAGTTTTAAAAACCTTTGACTTTATAATGGATTTGTTGCATTGAGGATTTGGAAGAGTACATTGTTTGTTATAGATTTACGATGGATTTGTATCACATTTTGCCTTTCATTGACAAATTCCAAGTGAAATGTGGGATTTGCAAATACGTGGAGTCCACGGATTTGGATCTAAAAATGGGGTTTAAATTCGTGGGCCCCACGGATTTGTGTCACTTAGCAAACAATGGATTTGTATAAATTCCATGATGATTGGGATTTGGGTGCCAAATTCATCACCCAAATCCCACAAGCAAACGATACCTAAATCCATTCTCGAGTTCCTTTGTTCGATTCGTGAGAGACACATTGCGCGGAAGCTCTAATCCGGAAAATCCAGGTAACATCATCCCTACTATTTTGTTAGCTTTTGTGTTTGCTTCAGGGAACTTGTGGTATACTTGTATAGGTTTAGAGATGGCAGACTTTGAATGTTGTTGTGGAACGTGAGAAAAAAATCAGGAGCATGAGCTAGGGTTCTTCGTGATGTTGGGCCATGAGAAGCAGAATTGACATGATTTCGCTTCAATTGACATTCACCCGAATCGTTAAATCGTAGGTTTTAAAATTTTTATGATTTTAATTGTAATTTTAAAAAATTTAAAGATATAATATTAAAATCAGAATCCAAACTCATATGCAACATCGTAAAATCAGAAGTTTGACTACATTGCCTACACTAACTCATACCAACATATAGTTCAACTTACATATGAGAAGCTATCGATTAATACTGTAAATTAACCACAGGGCAACGACTGCAATATACAACGAAGCAAAATACCAAAATTAGAAGATCATCAACTCATTGTTGTGTTCATTTTTAAGCTCTTAATCATATATTACAAGCTAGCTCTGCAATTAGCAGCGAAGCAATTTCGCTCTTCAACTGGATTGCCTACTCCTTCCTCTGCTATCTTTTGACTAGACTATTATCGCTCCTTTCTCAAAACCCTAATCCGTCGAGGTCGCTCGCTTGGACAAGACTCCACCTCGCCATCATCACTCCGATCATACACCGGATCGTTCTCACCCACGGATTCGGCATCGTCCTTGTCGGAATCGTCACCGGAGATAACCACCGGGTTGTACTCCGAGCAGCCAGGCCTTACTCTGCCGCCGCCGCGAAATCCAGAGTAGCTGTTTACTTCCGGGTAAGAGAAGTAAGTCGGGCGCCAGGGTTGGTTAACGGAAACGGATTCTCCACCGCCGCCGCCGTCATAACAACTGGAAACGGATTCGGACGCCTGACCTGGGGACAGAGCCCAGAAAGGCCAACGAGCCGGCTGTTGAACTTGAACTACTGGTGGGTTCGGTTTCTTGACCTCCACGAAACCGCGGCGTTGTTCCTCGGGAATGGAATTAATCAGAATTCTGAGTTTAATTGGCTTCCTGATGATCTCTCCGGCGGATGGAATTGGCGGCTGCTTTTGCATCTTCTTCTTCGTCTTCCTTCTCTCTGTTTTCGTTATCAGCGGGGCAGAGTCTTTCTTGGGTTCGCGGTGGACCGGGACGACGGCGACTCG